GTAAAAGTCGTAGAAACAGTGCTTGGTACCTTGCTTATTCATATGGTTCATGGTAGTCTTTCCAGGTAAGAAACAAAGCTTGCTTCTGTAAGGCAAAGAAAGAACCTGTAGACATTTAGGGGAGGACGGAGGGGGAGAACTTTAGGAATTCAACCAAACCTATAGGTATTGCAGGCAAACTCTGATGGGAACTGTGTACCTTGACTTCTGTTCCCTTAGAAGTTAATTAGAGCTCAATCTGATTGAGATTGATTCCAGCAAAGCAGTTGTTTTTTTTAATATTTTTTATTGTCTGAAGTTTTATATATGTCTCCTTTTTCCTCAACAGACACCTTCGCACCCCCCGCCCCCGCCATTCCCACCTCGGGTGAGCCCCCACTACCCCAGTGTCTGTGTCCATTGGTTATGCTAATATGCATGTGTACAAGTCCTTTTCCAGCAGAGCAGTTTTGAAAGAGCCTATGATCAATTACTACTATCAATTACTAATCAGGCCAAATTAAAACTAGACTTAATGAAGTAGATAAAGTGGCCTTAATTTGGCTCTTTGATAAAATTGAGGGTGATTTTATGGGAATATTGTGCTTCAATAGAATCCACAATACACGGTTGTGGATATTGTTTCTTACCTATAAACTAAACTGAATCCTGAATTTTTCTAGTTTTCTTAAATATTTGGTTACAATCCTCAAAATTAATGTTTCATTTTTCTCCAATTCTTTGACTGGGAATCATTGAGGACTAAAACGTTTTTTCTGAGATTTACAATAACAGATTACAGTCAAATTTAAATAATCTTAGTGACTGTGTAAACCATACAGACTTTATCTGGCCACTTGATGACATCACCAGATAGGTTATTTTTTTGCGGCAAACAACATCCAAAGTTTAGGCCAGTGGTTGGCAAACCGAGGCTATCGAGCCACATGCGGCTCTTTGGCCCCTTGAGCGTGGCTCTTCCACAAAATACCACGTGTGGGTGTGTACATACAGTGCGAATGAAACTTCGTGGCCCCTGTGCAGAAGTTGGTTTTCAGCCTGGGATCAGTGGATCCAAAAATTTTATTTCATGGTAGACATTACGTCTCATCTAAATCAGCTTAATCGTAAACTACAGGGGAAAGGAAACACAATTTTTTCGATGTCAGAAGTTATTTCATTCGAAAACAAATTATCTCTTTTTGCTCAAGATTTTAAAAGAGAAACTTTGATTCACTTTCCAAGCCTGTAGAAACATCGCCAAGAAAATAATTCTAATATTGATATTTTCTATTTCAAAACAACACTTTTAAATATGAGGGAGCTTTTCTTAACAGGTTTCAGGAATTCAGAATCAGCAAAGTGACATTAGCCTTTGTTGAAAAATCTCTCAATGCTACTGTAACAGAATTAAATTTTTCTCCCTTTAATATTGGCATTGGCAACTTTGAAATGCAATTGCTGGATTTAAAAAAACAAACAACTGTAGAGTTCAAAGTTTGAACGTCTTTGTGCTGATATAGAAATATTGGAGAAAAACAAACGTGAACTAAGTTCACAGCACAAGTGGTTTGCTTTAAAAGACCTGGAGGAGGACAATATATAGATTTTTAACACCTGGAACAGTATTCCTGACTCATATAATCAACTGAAAAAACTATCGTTTGCTGTTCTTTCCTTATTCAGGTCTACATATTTATGTGAACAATCATTTTCAAGCATGAACCTTGTCAAGAGTAAATTGAGAAGTCACCTTATTGATGAGAACCTGGAATCGTGCCTAAAATTAAAAACAACAACATACAAATGTATCTCCAGTGTCCCCAGACAGTCCAATTTTCACTTCTTGTCCCCAAGTAATTATTGATAGCACCCCTTTTACTCTCAAAAGTGTCCTAGTTTGAGTAATAAAGTATATCTCCACCCTATGAAATATGACAGTCTAGGGCCTAGAGTCTAGGAGGCCCATGGTCAGCAAACTGCAGCTCGCGAGCCACATGTGGCTCTTTGGCCCCTTGACTGTGGCTCTTCTTAAGCCATATTAAGTTAACAACAATGTACCCACCTAAATAGTTCAAGTTTTAAAAAGTTGGCTCTCAAAAGAAATTTCAATTGTTGTACTGTTGATATTTGGCTCTGTTGACTAATGAGTTTGCCCACCACTGGTTTAGGCCAACCAGTCTGGGGGCCACTGGTAAACTTACTTTAAAATTCCCTTTTATTAGACCATTTGTCATAATTGTCATTCTAGCTTTTGCCCCAATTAAGAGTTATAACACAAGTTGTCGCCATCAGATTACAAACCCTCCAGGAATTGCTGTTACTCTAGATTCCATTGCAATTTTCTTCTTTGCCCAGGCCTCATAGTCCCCCTGACAGAAAGTAAGGATCACTGAATCTGAAAAAAAACTTTGTCTCTCTTCAGAAGGAAACAGCT